AGTGATACATTAAACAACAATAAACAAATTTAAAGTTTTATTATCTGATTTTAAAAAAATGAGCTATAACTTTTTATATATGCTTTTTTATAATTTTAAGATTAATTTGTTTTTTGAAACTATAAAGTTAAAATGCATATATTTATCTAAATATTTGAAAAAAGGGACAAGTAACTGATACTCTTTATAATTATACATAATTTTAATTTCACTTTCTATTAATCGTATTATAAAAACATGGAAGACCATTAAATATTTATTCCAGTTTAATTTTATTACAGGTAAAAGTCAGATGAAATTATAGTGCTTACTTATACAACACTATTTAATAAATAAAAATATTTTCACAGTAAAATTTATGAGCACTAAATGAAAAAACCCACTTTTCCCTGGGTTTTTTCAAATAAAACCCAATTTTCCCCGGGTTTTTTCAATAAAACCCAGGCGGGTTGGGTTTTTTCAAACCCTGCTTTTTAGAATAATAATGCCCTTTTTTTTTAAACTTTAGCACCCTGCCCTTTTTTCTGCCTAGAATGAGCTCTGGTTAACTGAGGATTGAGTTAATTAAGAGGACATAATTGCTTTAATAAATCAATCAAACACTTAAAATAGTAAGAATTCAAAATCACACAAAATCAAATGCAAAACATTAATGTAATAAAATAAGTTACTGATACTTAATGTATAAAAACAATATTAATGCTAAAACAATAAATATTTCTTACTAATACGGTTAAAAATATTATTATTTAAACATTTCAATCAATGAAAAAATAAAATCACAGTTTCTTTTTTTTTAAATCTCAACAGTCTAATGAATTTTAAAGACAGTTGTAATCAAATGGATAAATAAGAAATAAAAAAGACAGATTAAATTAGTTTCAACAAAAAACATGACAAAATTTTTTTTAAACGTTATTCTAGGTAGATCTAGGCCTTTTCAAATTAATATGCTCACTAGTTACATATTTTAGTAGTTTTCAAAGAACTTGTATTTAAATAGGCTTAAAATAAAAGGGCATAGTTGACAATATATTTATAACCAGCAAATTATTTTAAATACAACTAATGAAAAATTATAATTTATGAATTTCATTTAACTCTTAATTTCCTTTTAATTCTAGACTATATAATAAAATTAACACATTTCTCCTTTATTAGGTATTTCTTTGCTTAAAAACTACATTATCAAACTTAAAAAAATCACACTCACAGTACATATTTATTAATTATATTTTTAAAAGTTATTTAAGAATTTACTTAATAATAGTTTTTTTTTCAAGGAAAGTCTATTGGTTTATGTTGGTGATTTTTTTAAAAAATCACAGTGAATTTAAACAATGAATTTTGAGAAAAACATTAAGTGATTGAAATTGCGATTTTAATAATGATTGAAATCATGACAACCTCGAACTGTACTGGGATATACATTTACAAGCTTGTCAACAATAGAACAGTTCAACTAAGTACACACTGTCTAAACAACGATTTTAAGAAGCGTAATAGCACGTGCAGACTCCACTAAAATCAATATTTTAAGAAAATTAATTTAACTACCTATAGTTCGAAGATAAGATGTATATTATTTTATAAGTTTATTTATTTTCAGTATGTAAAATATGGGACAAACAGAAGCTAAGTAGTATCCTGCCAATAATTGATAAAATGTATACACTGGTATTTAAGACTTAAAAATAATAGCGAAATCCTTATAACTATATCAATGTTGTAAAATGCTAAGATCAAAATAAATGCAAGAGACTAAATTAATCACAAATAAGAAGGTGAAATTAGAAACTTATCACTTTCATGAGTTAGTACCTGAGAACAAAAATATGAACCATTTATTCCCAACTTAATACAAGTTGGGCAACGTAATTTTGCAAAATTCTCACATTTATCAGTTTCACATTTATGCTCATTAATATTTTCATTTGCCATTGTTAAATATCACTCTTTTTTTAAACCTAAATAATTGAAATTCACGCCGTAAAAACAATGAAAAGCAAATTCACGTTGGATGGGGACATGCGTTTCCGTACTTCTATTTCTGCCTTATTAAACTCAATTTAGAAAGACCTGTAAAAGTCCATAAAAGTTGTAAGCGAATTCGCAACCAGTTTCAAAAATTATCCTCAGTTTAAAGAATAAAAGCGAAAAAGCCAGATCCCCCTGCTGGGCTTTAGAATTTCTGCATTTTGTTTTTTCGCGATTGTCTGTGACTTGGAAATAGTTTTCTAGAAAAATAAAAAAATGTCGTTGGGTGTTCCTGTTAAAGTATTACATGAAGCTGAAGGACATATAGTCACTTTAGAAACTAATACGGGAGAAGTTTATCGTGGCAAGTTATTGGAAGCTGAAGACAATATGAATTGTCAGATGTCGGGAATAACGGTAACTTACCGAGACGGTCGTGTTGGTCAACTAGAAAATATCTATATTCGAGGAAGCAAGATAAGATTTTTAATTTTGCCTGACATGCTAAAGAATGCACCTATGTTCAAAAAAGCTGGTCCTAGATTAGGTGCTGTTGCAAGTGGGAGAGGAAAATCTGCAATTTTGCGAGCACAGGGTAAGTAGTTCTTAATTTTATGAATTTCTTCTGGTGCATATAATGTATTAATTTGCAGCTCCTTATGCAGTGAAGTAAATTATTTGACTTACCACGGTAATTTAGTGGGGTATATTTCGGTATATGATCTGTGGCGCCAACTAAATACGCCAAGGCGCAATTCCACCCAGTTGTGTAGTAAAGTTAATTGAAGTTTTAATATAGTCTGTATATATGTATCATCAGTCACAAGAGCTTTTCTCTGGTTGCCAATTTGTCATTTCATGTGGATAATTTTCACACACAAAAAGTATCTTTTTGTCTAAGCCAATTTGGAGAAATTCATCGCATAATTTATTGTTGATAATTTTCACATTTAGGCAAGACACGATTTCATGTTTGCAAATTAGTAGCAAAGTTTGCTAATGCTAAAGAATACTACTAGCAATATCAGACTTCATACAAGCATTTATTAAAATGGCATTGTAGTACATTTTGTGATGCAGAAAATTAAATATTTTGCTGTCTGAATTATTGCAACAAAACGATCGCTGAATGTTAAATATTTATACTAGCATAAAAGTTTAATTACTCAAGTTCGTAACTTCAGAAACGTTGGTAGTTATGATTCCGTATTTCAAATATTGAGATTATTAAAGATGATGTGGTAGTTACTGGGTAGGAAGTAAGACAACTAAATGTAATAAGTGCCAAAAGCAGATTTTTAAATTACATTGACTCACCATGACATAGTCTCAAATTGAGCACATGAAAAAGTGATTGGTTAATTGAAATTCACATGCCATAATAATAATGTATTGGAATTCGGTTGACCATGTAAAAACTAACAGAACAGCTGAAAAAACACAGAATAATTATTATATTAATGACAGAATAGCCGTTTATTATATGTATCAATATGTGATTACATAAATTTAAACTTGGGGATGTCTCTAAGAATGGAAATTAACTAAAATAACTGCCCAGAAAACGTCAATTAATCCATGCAATACGTATAACAATAAAATTAGTACCATAATTTTTTTGAATGTATGGAATTCAATGGTTATAAAACAAAAACTTTTTTATTACCAATTTGTAAATTCCAAACATATTTCAATGTGACAAGTTTGCGCCTACTACATTTTAGCAAGATTTATTGAACATTTGGCGACTATTGTCGCCGTTCTCACCTAATCCCTATGTATTAAAAATATAAGAGTGTTAGGAGTCAAGTCATAAGTGACGCTGGTCATTTAAGTCAATGACCAGCAATGAAAAAACTAAAATTTTAGTGACAGTTTAAAATTATATAATAAAATAAAAAGTTTAATTATTGTTCTATCATTTAAGAGCTTATGTATAAAACAGTAATAAAGAAAAACATTTTCAATATTTAATTGAAAGTGTAATATTTTTTTAAAAAAGCTGCAATTTGCATAAAAAATATCTAGAATGTAATACTTATCATATTCATATTTCCATATTCAAAAGACCATATTTTGTAAGCAAACTAATGCTTGTAAGCCAAAACTCTTATTTATTATTTTAAAATGCATTTTTGCGTACCTGGTCATTAATTACAAAAAGGGTCAGTAATGATGAACTAGAAAAACTTTTTTAGCTATAAAATATTTTTTTTCTTAACTGCGCGATTTGCTGTATAATGATTAAAATACATATTATATATTGTTTGTTTTTGATTTTAAAATAATTTTAGACATTTAGATTTTAAAATATAATTTAAAGTTCAAGAGCAGTATATTTTTTTGCCAAAATCTTCAATAAACATGGAAAATGCTTAATAAAACTTAATTTGCTTCAAAAAATATAAAGATGATGATAAAAGTCAACATGTTTTGAGCTCTAAACCATAAGTACCCATTTTCAGGACTAGCCAGACGTGAATAAAGAAAACATAAGTAATTTGAAACAGAAAATATAAAATTTGCCAATGAAAAAAGTTTTGTAGAAACTAATGAAGTTTTATTCATCAAATATCTTTCTGCTTTAGTTTCTTGGTATTATTCATTTAAAACATGGGAAACTATTTAAAATCTCAGTATTAATTTGTTTCTTTTGAGGTTTAGAATTAATGTCTCTAACTATTATTAAAAAAAATTTCGCTGCAACATGATTTAAAATTTTCTATAATTGTATTGAAATTTAAATATAATATTTATAAATTATTCATTAAAATATGAAAAAATAATTCCAAAATTCAATTTTGGAAAATAAATTTTTTAATTATCAATTATATTGTTAGTATTTTTGTCACTTTTTCTAAGTGAAAAATTAATATCTTAAACAAAATGCTATTTAGTTTGAATCCAGTGCAATTTTCATCCATTAAAATTCTATAATTACATTCATTGAGAACGTAAGTCAGAAAAAGTTGCTTATATTATACCTTTATAACTTAGTACATCCCTTTTTGAGAATATTGAATTAAGGTTCTTAGCAATGTGATAAATAGTAGCAGGAAACATTCTTTGAATTATTTGTGTTATTTGTTTATCTGCAGTCATCGACCATGTGATCTATATAGTACATTGTACTTTACATTGTATTCTATTTTTGTAATTTGATTATGTTAAAAGAACTTTTCGATGCAATGTTGTCTGATTTTTTCTTTCTTTATTTTAGCGGCAAGAGGAAGAGGCCGTGCCAGATCGTTGTTTCAACGACGTAAATAACTCATCTCTTCATCATTTATGTATATCTTCTGTAATCTTCATTAAAGTGTTTTAGCATTTTCTTATCCGATAGTGTTCTATTTCAATTTTATCACAATGTTTCTTGTAATGTTCAGTTGTCAAATGCTTTCTCGTTTTCATTGTTTGGTTTTATTTATTTTCCCTAAATTAATTTCAAAACATATAATTATAGTTTTTAAGCATAAATTATATAAACTCCATCTTTTAACCATTACAAAATGCAAATAGATTTTGAGGTTTTTAAGATATTTTTGAAACTACTTCTTTCACAGGTGATTTCTAAATAATAGCTTGATCTCAATAAATTAAACCGGTATTGTGTTAGTTTACAGGGGTCTGTTTAGAAGAAATTTGGGTTCATTAAGGGACCCTTCACAAAATATCTTTTCATAAATACAGACCCTTTGACCCTTCACATATTTGTTTATCTTCATTATTGTTTTGTTAAATGAATAAACCATTCCCGAGGGAGAAAGACGGTTCGGGTAAAGTATCCCTAAGTTAAAGTTCCAAATGTAGTATTCTAAGATGCAATTTTTAATGCTTGAAGTGAAAAGGGGTTAAAGAAGATGCAAAACTTTTCTCCTAGATTTTTCAGACCAGATTATTGTTCATCTATCTGATGTTTTAAAAGCTGAAATTTCTAGCAAATTTTAGATTTTTTAGTCATAGTTTTCTAATGATATATAGTGTTTAATTGATTTAGAAATGTGCTCAATGTGTTAACTTCATTATTACGACAGGTTAATATTGTTACCCTATTTGTTCTTTTAATTTATGTACGAAGACTAATTGATTTTTTGTAATTTATAATCAAAGATTTACATTTAGTTTTTACTGATAATAAATAAAATTTAGTTATACATGTTTCATTGATTATGAATGAACATCGTTATTCACATTAAACTGACTCTTGATTTACAGATCAGAATTCATTTAAAATGTTCTACGAATTGCGGTTTAACTGAAAGTGATTAATGAATCACATATCGAATATTAAAGTGATTTGCAAATTACTCATCAGAATTCATATTACGGCATTTTATAAATCACGCATCATGATTCACATTAGGTGGTTTATCAATCACATATCATGATTTCAATTAAAGTTACTTCTAAATCATATAAAGTGGTACGTATTTAAGTAATTTCAGAATCATGCCTCACAATTCTCCTTTTAGTAGTTTACAAATCACGCATTGTGATCTACAAAAGAGAGATTTCTCATGAAAATGATTTAAGAATCATACATAGCTGTTCTATTTTAAGCACTTTTCGAATTGCAATTTGCATCATAATCATCATTATTCACATAAAACTATAAGCTAAATTGCAACAGAATTCACATTAAAGTGATTTATGTCTTGTTAGCTCATGCGTTTTGTATAATTTGCTATTCATATTATTCTGATTTAAGAAACGTGCGCCGCAATTCAATTTCAATTTACAAATCACACATTGTGATACGTGATTTACGCAATCTGCGGGACTACTTCACCTTTCTTATAATGATTTTCATATAGTATATCTAAATTCGTATAAATGCAATTTAAAAATTACGCTTAGTTAAAATTAGGCATATTCTCAAAATTTACATTTAATGGATATAATTTAAAGAAAATAGAACTTGGTAAGTCTTAGTTATCTGTAAAGTATTGTTCTACAATAGATTTTATTTGTTCAGAATACATTACTGATATTCTGAAGTCACAAAATAGAAAATTTGATAATAAAAGTGAAACAGATGTGTTAAATGGATATATTTTGGTAATTGATCTAATTATGTAAATTTCCTGTAACCTAAAATTTGATCTAACATATTAAAAAAAAGTATATTTTAAAAACTGTGCAATTACATGAACTTTATCAATTATTTACTATGCTTGTTTAATGTAATATGCATTATACTTTCATTCAGTTCATTAATTCTACTTCGCTTCATTAAATTTTTCATGAAAAGTTTCTCTGTTGCTAGTTTTTAAATGTTGGCTAGTAGTCCATTGGATTTTTTTTTTTTTGTCAATTGGAATTTTTTAAAGTGATTTGAAACAGCAATGTAATTGTCAATCATTTGATAGCTGATAAATATTTTTTTTTTTTGTCAAACAAGCATTTTGATTGAAAAATATACAATTTCTGCTTCTACGTAATTGTAAAATCTGGTTGACATATACTTTAGCGTATAACAATAATATCGAATAGGTCCTTGAAAAATTTGATTTTAGGTCCTTGAAAGTCATTGAAAAGTCCTTGAATGTTTTTAAAAATTGAGTTAGAACCCTATGATAGGAAAAAGATTAGCTTAACAATATTTTTAGTTATGAAAAACGCAAAAAATTTTATATGCTTTAAAAATGGTGAGAAATTGCATTTATTTTTCCTCGCTATTTAAAGCAGAATTTTTTTTTTTTTCAAATTTAGAAAAAAATAGCGTCCGGTTTGAAGAGATAGAAAATAACCTTTCATGACAAAGATGACTGTGCGCATCCGTTCACGGGAGTGTCCGCTTTGCGAAGAATGTACATAATGGTTTATTCAGGGGGAATTAAAAATATGTCCGTTTCGCAGGAGTGCCCATAACAGGATCCGTGAAGAATTATTTGGGCTTTAGAATAGACTAATAACTTAAATATTTTAAAAGCTATTATTATTTTTTTTATAACCGTCGTTCAACAGCCGACCCAATTTCTGGGTTTACAACTAGTGTTCAACTCCACAGCCTTGTAACTTTGAACCCAATCCAGAAGACAAGGGAACTCCTGGATCAAATATTGGGAGAAATTTGCCTTCGCGGAGGACTTCTGATGGAACTAACCCGCATTTGCGTTACATTGAGAGGAAGACGGTTAGCCTGACGGTAACGGGACTCTAACCCATGATCCGTCTACCACTGAGGATATTTAACGTTAGCACTGTGGTCAGTTCGAGCTGCGGGCAGAATTCGAATTAACCAGCCGACGCTGGGATCTAACCTCTGTCACCTTATTGTGAGACGATTGCTCTATCCCCTGAGCCACCGAGGCTCTTTAAAAGTTATTAAGCTTTTTTTAAAAACCGCCAATTTGGCAAAATTTTTCCACCTAGATGAAATTTATAAAAATCACTGCCGCATTCTCAGTTTTTGCACATTTTTATGAGCCCGAGTAAGGCAGCATCGGAGTAAGTTTTTAAATATTAAAAAATTAGACCCCAAATGCTTTTCATTTTCACAAAACTGTAGCTTTTCTCCATTCTGATATTTTGCACCATTTTCAAAATAAACATTTGACAGTGATGGCTTTAGATAGGCTAAACTTGGCCTAATAGTTTTGAGCAACAGTTGCACACTTACAGCAGTTATAAAGAAATAGCATATTATTCGTAAAAAAGCATCATTTCATAATACGACGGGGGCTTAGAAAAACAGCCCTAAAAAGTTAGATAAAACTGGTTGGCAAGCTTAAGTTAATTTTAATTTACAATTTAAAATGTCAAATAAATGCAAAGACTGATTTTTAATTTTCAACGTTATAATTATGCTGTCTTTTAGTTCTTGAAGCGCCACTATGCTAAATTATTTTTTTTAATGTTAATTTTTTTGCTTTAAAATGTATGTTGTTTACTGTTTCAAAACTATGTATTCTTTTAACTTAAAGAAATTTACATCAGTGGAAAGTTTTTTTTCGTTTTGGTGAAGAAAAAAAATCCTTACAAAGGAAATTCATTGGTTAGCATAATTGTTGCTAATAATATAAATAAGTTGTTAATTTGATTTATTTTCCTTCCAAGATTTATTGAGATAATTAGCATGTTAAAGTTGTGCTAAAACATTTTAATAACTAATTCACTGCTGTACTAAACGAACATGTCAGAGACAATTAAATACACTCTCACTTGTGCAATATGAATTTATTATGCTTACCGATTCTCTTAATTTTTAACTGTTAGATTTTAACTATCTAAATGATTGAAATTATACTCATTTAAAAACGCGGACCAACTGGTCTCCTGAAGCGGCTAGTTTTTTTCCCAAAAAACTAAAGACGGAAAAAATTATCTAAGCTTTTTTTTTTTGTTACTATAGCCAGTTTTTGTTAATTTATAGAAATTATTATTTGTTTTTGTAAAATTAATTGTCATTGTAAAACAATATTTAAATATTGTAAAACAAAAAAAAACCCCAGGATACCAGTTTATTTTGGTAGATGTTTTTATTTTCTCTCTCCACAAACTTTTAGCTATATAAATGTTTTATTAGTAGGAAACATGAAAAAATGAAATATTAAAATTATTGTTTAGCAACTTTGCTTGTGTAACTTACTTGTTATTAATATTTTATCTTCTATTTGCTTTTGCGTGGTTCGTATTACGAGCTCGTGAAAATAATGTTGATATGGTTTTTAGGTAAATGACAACCAAAAGAATGAATAGCGAGTTTTTAATGAATGCGTTTATTATGAACAGTGCATTGGCCTATCTCTGTAGACGCAATGAAACCAGCTAAAAAATAACTTTTTCTGTTTAAATAAATGTAAATGGCGCTACTAGTACAATATACATACCGGCTTCAACACTTGTATACTTACGTACATACTTGTACTTGTATTGCAAATCAATGTATTGACTATCAAAAAAACTACTTATAGTCAACTTTTTTTTGTTTTAGAAAATGGGTTTGTTTGCTTCCTATACTTTGTATATGTCTTAAATTATTTTTGTTAAATTCATATATTTCTCTCTCTTTAACAGCAGCATTAAAATTTCTGAAATTAATTGAATTCCAATTTGTAAACAAAACTTATAAAAATTTTATTACATACGTTAGTACAAACTACACTTTAAAATACAACATATGATTTACAAACAATGCAATTTAATTTCAAACACAACAATTTTACATACCTTTTTCTCGTTTTTCTTAATTTGAAATAATTAAGGAGAGAGATAAAAAAAGGAAACTAGATTTCCCCCACCCCCTTTTTTTTTCTTCTTCTCTATACCCTTTAATTTTAACTTTTTGCACTGAAACTTCTTTCAATTGATTGACAGTTGATATAATCACTTATGGTTTACAAAATATAACTCCATATTTACACAACTGAATAAAATAATTACTAAGCATAAATATTTTAACATTTAGAGTGGTACAGCTGGTAGCAAAAAAAAGGAAACTCTCGAGTGCAGAGAATTAAAATAACAATTCCATTTAACTTAAAGCTGCATTTAAGTTCTGTCCCATGAAAAATAAAAGGATCAAGATTTTTATGATTATTTGAAGGTAACTGAACATATTTGACTTTAAAAAACTTCTGAAAGCAGGTGGGTTAATGATATTTTGTTGGATATGGTAAACAAATAAATCACTCTTTAAAGATTGAAAAAAATATTCATAACTGTCTTACAAATATGACATAAATTTGATTTGTTTTTTATATCACATAGAAATAGCTTTTTTAAGAAAAAGGCTTAACAGCGATTTTTTTCTTCTTTTAAAATCCCCAATTGGGTCCAGCCCTAGCGATCATTAATTTAAATATAGCTATTAAACATTAAATTATGCCTAATTATTAATATATAAATGTATCACAAAGAAGGGAAGAGCAAAACCGTGCATTTGAATAACACGTAAGAAAGTTTCTATCAGGAGGAGTCGTTCTCGATGACTTGAACGCGGAAGATGAGGCGCCTCGATGCAAACCAGCTGTGAGAATTATTGAAGCGATAGATATCTGAAAGAAAAAAAATAAAAGAAAAAGCATATGACATTATTTGCTTTCTGTATATTAAAAAATGAAAGGAAGGAGAAGTGTTGCTCACATATTCCTGGATGTGGTGCTACATTGAAATCGTTGATGGGTGACATGTGACTTTGTACTCTCATGGAAGGGCTGATCTTGGTCACTCTGCATTTCTGGTCCTTTTCATCAAGGTGCTCACTCTCAGATGGGATGTCCAACTCACTTCATAAATAATAACAGAAATTCAAATATAGATGCATAAAAATTTGTATAATTTTATTTTAACACATATATACATAGTTTCATTTAACCACATTTTTATTCGCGATCGCAACACTCGAATACGCCATCTGGGGAGAGACCGGTTTCATGCCTTTAGCCCTCTTCTCCCTTCCCTCTCCTCCTTTTTTCAATTGTATAGGAATGTACTACGATATTTTCCCTTTTCTTAATATTTTTCCTTTTTATTTAATCAAAATATTTTTTAAAATTTCCATTATACTTTTCTTTAGAACTATGTTTAATGCAGTTTTCAGTTTCATAAAGTGTTTCAAGTTGAAAGATTTTAATCTATATGAAAATCAAGAGAGAAACTAACGTACTTCCTCTATGACTTTCCACACGCTATTGGGGAAAGCATGTGAAGTGTTGCCATAGGAAAAGAGTTCTGCTGTACGCCACCTGCAGCCCATTTCGATCGCCAATTGTATAATATTATTAAACTAAGTTTTGTTTATAGAAAAACAAAATTCAGTATTAATAATTAGTTCCCCGTCAAGATTGCATAGATTAAACGCTATCACGCAAGTGTGTGTAGGCCAGGGATGGCGAACCAATGGCACGCGTGCCATTGATGGCACGCAACACAATATTTTGGGCACGGCACCAATCACAAAGTTCACCGTGAAGGATATTAACAATTGAACTAAAATTCACAAAGAACAAACAAAATGAACAATTGTTTATAAAAAATTAACAATTAATGCAAAAAAAAAAAAAATTAATAACCATAAAAAGCAAGCTAACAATATATAACTAGCAAAAAAAATTAGCATATAATAACTAATAGAAAACAAAACAAAAGAAAAATTAAACTATGCGAATGAAAGCGAAACAAAAATTGCACAGGAGATAATATGACGCCTAAGCGAAGTCAAGGAGACTTGAAACAGTTCGTCTCGCCAGAGCAAAAACATAACTAACGCGCTAATTTTTCATTCTTTCGTCCCTTAGACGCCAAACTGAAACACATTCTCTGTACATTCACTTTCCTGAGAAGGTATTTATAAATTAAGTATATTTAAGCATGATAAAACTTGTAATACATGTTCAAAGATAAATTTTTCAACTTTTCTTTTTATACAATATTTATTTGTATTTATAGGCACTTTTAAACTGTAATTAATTCCGAAGTAGCGAAGATCTACTTTTCAAAAGCGTAGTATTATATTTCCTACCTTTCCCTGTAGTGAAAGCTTCAGGTGAAACGTAGTATAGTGATGTATTATTTGTTTACGCAAAGCATAATAGTCAGTTTCGTTGACACAACTGTAATTTAAAGTTTATTTGTGTTATATTTGTGATTTTTAAATGTTTTTTAACATGCCAAGTTCAGCAAGAAAAACAAAAGTGCAAAATAGTAAACATATCAGAGAATTTCAAACTTGGCGGACAGAGAAATATGGCATGATTAGTAAAGGCGAAAAAGCAGTGTGTGTTTTATGTTCTGGAACAGTGGTATGTAGAACATCGTCTGTAAAACGGCATTTTGAAACAAATCACAAATTCGTTAGTCAGAAAAGCGAACCAGAGCAAAAGGAATTAATTGCAAGTTCAATGAAAGACAGAAATAAACAGTCCACTTCTATGATTAAATATATTGGCAAAAATTGTCATACGAGTGCGGCTAGTTACTCGGCTGCAAATATCATTGGTCGGCATAGTAAACCTTTTCAAGAGGGAGAGTTTTTGAAGGAAGCCTGGTTAGCATGCGCGCCCTTCTTTTTGATGATTTCGATAACAAAGATAAGATAATTCAGCGCATCAAAGATGCCCCTCTATCTAGAAATATAATAAAAGAAAGAATGTTAAAACTGGCGGGAAATGTAACAGATCAACAACAAATTGACATTAACTCCGCTCTTTTTATATCGTTATGTCTTGACGAAAGCACTGACATTACTAAATCTGCACGCTTAGCTGTTTTTGCTCGATATTGAGTCGGAAACGTCATTAAGGAAGAATTAATTGCTATAACATCGTTACTAACAACTACAAAGGGCACAGATATTTGTACGGCTGTTACAAATTCGCTTATTGAGAAAAAGATCGATTTGAAAAAAAAATGTTTCGGTAACAACTGATGGTGCTCCAAGTATGGTAGGCAAAAAAAAATGGTTTCATAAGTTTATTTCAAACATATGTAGGTCACTCGATTCTTGAATTTCATTGCCTATTCACCAACACGCCTTGTGTGCTAAGAGTGGTTTAACATCTCTTGATGATGTAATGGCGGTAGTCACAAAAATAGTCAATCTCATTTCCTCGCAAGCTTTAAATAAGCGAAAGTTTGATGCTCTGTTGGATGAAGTCAACTCGGTGTATAATGGCTTACTGATGTATAATAATGTTCGCTGGTTGAGCCGCGGGAACGTACTTCAAAGATCTGTTGATTGCTTGGAAGAAATCAGACTGTTTCTACAAAATGAGGGGAAAATTGAACAATACAGGAACGATATTATTACAAGAAACTACAAGTATTTTCCAAACTTGAAAAAAAGTATCAACGATTTAGATATACATGAGAAACCAGGCGAAGAAATAGTCATTGAGGAATTTATTTCTGTTATTGATTCTTCAATCAAAGAATTTTCAGCTGAGATTTTCCCAGTTCAAAGAATTATCAGAAACACTCAAGTTTATTATGTACCCTGATGTGACTTCATTTGATAAATTGAACTTGTCCCAATTCGAGTGGTTGAAAATTGAAGAATTTGAAATGCAGTTGATTGATTTCCATTCCAGTCCAGTTCAATATGGATTCAAAAATTTATTGAAACAAGAAAAGAGTTAATCGAAACAGAAAGATTGACAAGCAATATAAGTAAAAATGCCAATAACAAAATTTTGGAAGCATGGAATTCGTTACCAGACACATTTAACTGTTTGAAGAAGCTGGCTCGTGCTATTTTAACTATATTTTCGTCTACCTATGCCTGCGAGTCATTATTTTCAGAGATGAATATTAAACACTCGCTTAAAAACCGTTTGACAGATGACTCCACTTCAGCATGCATTCTGCTTAAACTAACATCTTACAACCCTAATATAAGTTATTTGTCATCTAATCTGCAACAACAGAAGTCTCACTGATGTTACTTTAAAGTTTAATTATGCATAAAACTGAGACATTGCAAATTTTTTTTCAGTAATAAATAATAAGTTTTGAATTAATAAATAATAGGAATTTCGTAATAAATAATAAGTTTTGAATTAATAAATAATAGGAATTTCGTTATAAATAATAAGTAAATAAAGAGTTTTGAATTAATAATATTTAGTATTATTATTTTCTCAATAATCACGGGAGTCAAAATTGTTTGATGGCACGTCTATGACCTAATTAAACATTTTTCTAGAAAAAATGGCACGTTGATACATAAAGGTTCGCCACCCCTGGTGTAGGCACTATGGAACAATCCGTGTTCTGTAATAAAGAGCTAGCGCAGAACATGATTAGTATTTTCATGCAAGATCCCACACCTACGCGTACTACGTAGTGTTTCACGTCAGCACTTTCGAGAACCGAGATTGTTCTGTACTAACTTCTTTGTCTAAAACAACATAGCACTTAAAGTCGTAGGATGTTACCATGGAAGAAATATAATTACTATCACCAAATCGTTGTAGCTTTTGCCAAAAAAACTAAAAAAGCATTAGAGTTACGGAAAACTATAATGCTTTGAAAAATCTCTCTCTATTAAAAGCTGTTTTTCAAAGGCTCCGTAGTAATATGAAATGATGCTTTTTATAACTGCTGTGAGTTTGTAACTGTTACTCATGAGAGTTAGGTCAAGTTTAGTCTATCTAAAGCCAGCACTGTTTTGAAAATGGCACAAAACGTCAATATGGAATGGAGAAAAGCCTCACTTTTGTGAAAATGAAAAGCGTTTGTGATCTAATTTTTTTATTATTTGAAAATTTACTCCAATGCAAACTTTTACCTGGGCTCATAAAAATTTACAAAAACTGAGAATATGGCAGTGATTTTGATAATTTTCGTCTAGGTGAAAAAATGTCGCCAAATTGGCGATTTTTAATAAAGTTTAATAACTTTTAAAGTATTTAAGTGCCTTGATTATATATATAGTTTAAAATCACCTCATTTCTTCAAGTGTTAGGCACTTAAGCTACAGGGCTAAAGAGAATAGAAGGGCTGGTTCACTCCTTTGAAGAAACTCTCGCCGAGCCAATCCTCCGATTTTCTCTAGTGGCGTCACTTTGGCGCAAAGCTCGCACTTTTACTTCAAGAACAGAGCGTTCGGCCTTACTAGCTCTAACTAATATTGGAGCATTTCTTTTTGTGACATATTCTAAGACATTTAATATTTTCTATAATGACTTTCCTCAGTTTTTGCCGTGAATTTACAAAATTTTAAAACTATTAACGAAATGCCAGTTTTGCGCGATTGTAACTTGCAAAAATTCTGATAGAAAAACAAAAGGAAAAAATATAATTTCCCGTGTGTTCCCTAAAGTAAATGATCAACTGTGTAAAGAATGGATTCCGAAATGACACAGTTAATATAAAACAGAAATACGCTTTTTCTATCGTTAAGAACTTTTATAAAAATTCGTTATCTAAATCGAAACCGCCTCGTTACTTCAAAAAGAAAGGCATGTGAAAAAAATTAAAAAATGGATTAAATCAAAGAAAATTAAAACGGAAGTAAAAAGTATAAATAAAATGTATAGTGTACCGTTGAAATTCTCCTAATTTCATAACTTATTTTTTTTATGTAGTTATTCTAAATATTCATGATTCTTTTAAAAATTATATTCTCTTGAATTTAAATATCTATAAATTATATCATCTTAAATTTAAATATCTATAAACAATTGTAAAATTTCTAATGTCATTATGAGCCTAAATTATTATTTTGTTTCAGTAATTAGCGTTTAAGGTTGATGTTTCCTAATGATTAAGTATGAACAAATTGCTATTAACGGCATATTTTAAAATCGGGGATTCTAAATTTAACTCAACTTATTATTATAAAAGAATATATAGATAAAAAAGTGTCGATATATGCTTTCATTTTTCTTAATAATGAAAGTTAAAACTGAACTTTTTAAAGTAAAGTATTTATAGTGTCATTTTCGCCAACTAGTAAAATATTTTTATAAGTTTAAAATGTTATTTTTTTAATGTAATGGCCAAGAAACATTTTTTAAACTATGTTTATGACTGGAAATAATGTGTTAATTAAGTAAAGTTTGAAGACTAATAACGAGAAAAAGTCTAACTTATTTTTTCAAAGAGAAAGATGCAAAGTTATCATAATATCTTTGCATGCGATCTTCCGAGATCTGTGGACACAGTGACGTCTTGAGGAGGGAAATCGTATCATCAGCTCTAAGAGCCTTCTATTCTCTTTAGCCCTCCTTAAACTATGGCTTGTTTTATTTTCCTTGGCTACAGAGCTTCGTAAAACAACGTTAACACCCTGTACTTGATTTGAAATTTATGAAAATGGATTTGGGTGTTTAACAATTCTTCAAACGTGAACTTCGAAAATGAAATAAATATATATTTTTGATATCTAAAAGAATTCGATTCCATGAAATTGAAATGAATTCTGTGTTGTGGAAATCGGTTACCTGATATCGGTGGTGTCAAATTTTCTGTAATAGATGGACATGTGGATGCTTCCATTCTCCGTCCTCAGCTGAACTCGAATTGACGTGTTCGGCTTCGTCACCACAACTGAATGGTTATAGACCTTTCTCGCCCTCAACCACACATCCTTCACACCCACATCATTCGGCTGCAGGTCACATGATGATTGATTGCACAGGTAATACTTCTCTGGTACTCTTCCACCAAACCTCAACTGAAATCAATTGTTGTGAAAGTCATAGAATATAAATTTAAGGATTTATCAATTGATAATCATGATAGTCATAGTATCAAGGAGAATTTTTGTAACCCCCCGAATGCTTGAAATAGGTACTCACGAACTCGCTGCATTTGGGGTTTCCCGTCGAATCCACTCTTTTTCCTCCGAGAAAAACTGGCAGAACATCTTCATCAATGTACTGGAGTAATACTTCGCCTGTCGATTCTGGAAGGAATTGTCATAGTTACTTTTGCTTTCATGTATTAATTAAAAAATTTTTTTAATAGTTTCTTACAATAATATACCTTTTAATTTCAATGTTTAATAAAAGATTCGTTTCAAATCAAAAATAAGAGTTAGGTATTTTCCATTGTTCTTTTTTTTAGCATTTCTGCTTTACTTTCATTTATTTTTAATTATTAATCCATTTAATTAATACTTTATTTTCAATTATTATAATTTTTAATTAGTTATAATTTTTAAATAATTTTATTTTTAATTATTAATCTATTTATTTATTTATTTTTAAATATTAATCCCGTGTTTCGGTTTTCCCTTGTCGTTTTAAAGTTTATAGATTCATGCGAACATACAGCGAATAGCTTATGCATACTTTCATTACTTATACATACAGCGAATAGCTTATACCAAAAACTGTTATCGAATTTAAAAACATTATCATATAATATTTAATAAGAATAATTATGAAAATCTCTTATTCGTTTTCCTTTTAAAAAACCACAATAAATGATTGCTTTCGTTCAATAGTAGGTAAACTTGATAAAATGCGGTTTTCGTTGAACTTATCTTAATTTGCTACAACAACAATAGCAAACGAGAACAAACACACTCAAAATATCGTTCGTCCTATACAATTTATAATGGTTACTTTTAGATCATGTTTCAATATTCAAGTACAAATATTACCTCTTGAAAGTACTTGAATTTTTTGTATAACGCTCATTCTCATCATAGGCTTGAACATGTTGAAAATTGTATCAAAATAGGGAGGAACTGAAAAGGAAAATGCAGATGAAAATATCGGTATAAATTTTAATTATTATTATTATTTTTTTAATTTTTGTTATTATTTTTTTTTACTGAATAGAAACTTGACGAGCTTTTTATTTTGGACGTAGCTCAAAGTTCGTGTTTAAAAAAAGGACATTTCATTATGTTCCGTATTTTAAACCATTGTTATTACTAAGATTAATTTTTTTTTAATATTGTTGTTTAAGTTTAAGGAATATTAAATCAGTTGTAGAAATAGAAAATTATATTACTACTTACTATTATTTTACAAAGTTCATTAACAGCTTCTTTCTGTTTTTATATTTTCTTAAGCCATTATCTAAATTTAAAATGTAACTTAGAACCTTTCACTAATCTTCAATTATTTCATTCAAGAACGATATAACGATACCTTTCAAATATTATGTAAGCATGTTTAGTTACCCTTTGTCGCAAAAATAAGGAAATTATAACCCCCTCTCATGCTTCTGTCAGAAAATCGCAACGACACCCTCGTTTTTTGCTAAACTTTGCTTCAACTACAGTAATAATAATTTTGGGAATAATTATTCTTCTTTATTCAGAAATATCGCATTTATCGTAAAGGATGTGTCCTGACGAAGACCTTTACGTTTTGCCATTAAAAGTTTTTCCATTTTATTTTATTGATATTATTATTACTTGTGTTTATGTATAGATATATATACATACATAGTAAAATAGTACTTTAAATACAAAAACAGCTAAATTACATTTATTTTAGATAAAAAAAACAACTTAAACATATTTACCATTGATAAAAAATATGTTACCCCATATTTCGGGATAATATTCTTGAACTAAGAGACCAAGATCAAGCCCCATTTCATAAACTGCAAAAGAAGAAAGAATAATTGAGCTCCATCTTTTTTAGCTAATGATTTTTTAAAAAGATATTTTTTAAATAATAATTTTGTAATTTTTTTAAAATAATAATTTGTAAAAAGTTAATAACGATTTCCGGAATAGGAACAAGTCAGAATAATTGAAAACATAGTATACGTATACATTCTAAACAACCGAACTGAGAAAAATACCGCTCTCAGTTGGACATATTGATAGAAATCCTTACTAGAAATAGGAATGGGTGCTGTGTTAAATCTGATCAGTGAACAGCCTTGCCCGTCTTTCAAACTTCAACAGAAGTTAGTGGAGCTCGGTTCGCACGTTTCACCGCATCTACAATATTGTACGTAACAAAATATTGCTTTCATTACGAAATTTCTTTAATGAAAAAAAGAAAAAAAATAAATCCGGAAAATAAAAAATAAAAATACTCTGATTCTTCTTGACATTTGCTAACGATACAAAGAATTCAGCATTTATATAAATATGAATTCTGATTCGTGTTAACAACATTAGTTCCTCACTACATCTACATAGCGGGCGGAAATGCATTTTACTCCTCTAGGCCAGTGTGGTTTTTGTTTTATTTTTCTTGGTTTTCCACCTTTATTTTTCCATTTTTCGTTGGCAACTTTATGTTTTATATTTCGAATCACTTTTAGTTCTTCGCATTCACGTTTGGGAAACCTTGAAAATGGATGCCTATTGTTGAGCGCTTGAAACATGTTGACTATTATTTCCAATTTCTAACTTTTTGAAGCTTATAAAGTTTTTAACCAAGTAATATTGGGACCCTATTTTCCAGATGTTAGCTACTTTCTATATTTCGAAAGTTAGGAATCCAAATCAGTTGAAAAATGGATTTGTTGATTCAGAGGAAGCGTGTTTTAGTGTTTGATTTAGTCACTTAAAATACCGTCCTTACCCTCTCGAACTGTTAAGACGGAGAACTAGAATCCGATTATTTGATCACAAACTATTTAGGGTGATTCGTTTTTCTGTTGAACGTAAATGCATTAATAAAAAAGATTGCACGATATACTTACCACACTTATGTAAAATATCGTGTAAGGCCAATCCTGCTAAATCGAATATGTATGTGATTTCAGTCACATTTTTTCCAGTCTACAGGAAAAAAAAAAAGAATATCAACTTCATCTTATTGATATAAAAGAATCTGAAACTATTGATAGTCTCAAAACTTGTACCGATGCTCATCTCTTTAGCAGGGAATAGCTCCTTTTTTTCACCATTTTTTGGTTTTCTTTCTCATTAGGTTCCTAATACTTATAATTAGTTGGAATAATAATACCTAATTCTTATCAGGGCACAAAACTAAAAAATTCTTAGTGGTTCCCCTTGTAAGGGAATAGTATCGTCTGTGCATGGAAAGAACTCTCCTCGCCATTCGTCCGGAGCAGTGTCAGTGACTATGGTTAGAAGGTTTAACTATATGCAGTAGGGGTGTTAAGACAATATTTTGGCTCGGTTGGCGGGAAATACGCTATTTCTTATTTCCTTAGCAACAGGCTGCATTAGACTTCGTGCCAAGGGTAGTTCTTTTAATGGACGAACTATATGCTGCTTTGGTTTTATATTAAGTTGTGTTTCTGTCATAAAATAGCTTATCTCATAATAATTGGGAAAATTAAACATTCTCTGCATTATAGTTTTTTTTAAAAATTTGAATGCCCTTTCGTAACTTTTTCTTTCACAGAAAAAAATCTAATAGACGCACGTAAACGGACAACTAAAAATGTGAATGAACTGTTAATATCTATTTGATTAATTTTCTGTTGATCAATTTTCTTCACTTCTATCTCTGCTTATACTAAATAACCTTATACTCAAATAAGAATGAGTGTTAGGAATCTAATAAGGAGAAGAATCAAAAATGGAAAAAAAATTGGAGATTATTTTTCTTAGAACGGCAGTATACGCCATCAGTACTTTTTACTTTTCATTAGATATTATCATATAAACAATTATATTACTTTTATTATAANTGCCTCTTCCACTCATATACCACATACGCACACATTTACTATAAATAAGATGTATATTCATACTCTAGAAATAATTCATGTGGCAAAGCAACGTTTGCCGGGTCAGCTAGTATATATATATAATGTTTAAAAATGTAGCTTCAGCGTAACTACTGTCTCCTAAAATAGAGCAAGACATGGTTTCCGGCCACATAATTTTCATAAATGTTGAACCAGGAACCCTCGTTCACTGGGAACTTCTATACCTCAGATCCCCTGATGGTGTCCCAAAACGAGCAGACATGGTCTGATCAATTGTTCAAGAATTAAAATTATGGTTTGGAAAAAAATAATGTTAAGATAAATGTTGCTCTCTTTCTGCAGTTACTGTACTTTCGCTCAATTCAATGACATTGTTTTAAAAAGGAAAGTTATTGTTACCGACAGTTATTATTTTTTTTCCGAATTGAGTTGCCTTCGAATTTTTTATTATCTGAGACTGTATTTTCATTAGACAAATGGATAAATATTAAATACGAAAAAGGGGTATGAGCTGCTCAAAACATCACAATACATACAAAATTTGCAAATTAAAAATGGATTTTTTTTCTTCATAAACTGGAAAACGCTTTATATATTTCGTACTCATAAACTTCTTTAACCTTTTGCTTACGGTTGGTGTAACAGGTGGACCAGATTGGCGGGCATCAGCAGACTGAGCACCGTAACCAAAGGTTAATATTTTTAAAAAAACTTCACAAATATGTTATTTTTTTGTTTATTACTTTTTCAACAAATAAGGATGGAAATTGATAAATTTAAGTTTACGTGAAAATCAAGTTTGAAATTGTAAAATCAAATTCTTTTGCGTGTGATTAATTTCCCCTTAGTAATTTTTTATTTTACCTTTGAGATATCTATAATCGGTATTCCAGTTCATCGATTTTTCAGAGTCAGACAAAGAAAAAAAAATAAAAAGAAAAAAATATATCAGATCTGAGAGGGCACAAAATTTGATTCTAACTTAGCTTTGAAACGGATTCATTTTCTTAGCCCTAAATAATTGAAGATTCGCCTATAGAGTACCGATCCCTGCGGTTTTGCGAATTCGAGTTGTTCCCGTTGCGTTGCGCTCTTACTACCTCACTTACAGTAGCAATAAGCACGACTATACACTTCTTACTTTTCGAGATTCGCTGTAATTATTGCCCAATAGTAAAATTTTTAGTACCAAAATAAGCGTTGAATGTATTTAGAATATTGAAAAGCACACAGAAGACAAAATTAAAAGTGAGGCGAACAAACGTAGAACTTTCTGTCCTAAGAAGCTTAGAACGTCAAAAATATGTATATGCAACAAGGCTATTCGTGGAGAAACACGCTTTTAACATTGACCAAGAGTGAAAACGAGATTTTTTTCTACTTAAATATTATAATACCTTTTTTAGCTACACTCATTTTTTTGAAACAAATAAAGGGAATATTAAAACATACTTGTTTGTCATTCGCAGTCTATTAGTTGAATGATTGGTTACAGATTAACACTGATTCATGTTTATTCGTCTAGGATTTTTAAAAAAAAATAATAAATTACAAAATTAAATTTAAAAAAACGGATTTTTTTTCCAAATGGGATAGTTATTGTAAAATAAAAAATACCCTGCTGAGCACTTTAGCAAGGTTAGACAATGCAAATGACATCTCTAAAACTATTTAAGTAAGTTTCCTATTAATATTAATAAATGATAATAGTTCACCATTTTTGCCCGCATCCGTTGTCTTTTGAGATCTTCTTCCATTATATGACAACCGTAGTAACCAAGTTGATAAGCTGACATAGAAGCAATAAAACCTAGAATTACAAGCATTTTATGAGACGTTAAAATAGCATAGAAGTGGAAGGTGTTTTCTATAACAGTTATTTTATAGATTCGAGTCTGTTATTATTTATTTATTTGACTTGGAGGCTTCGTTCGCCAACCCCGTTATTCATTCATCATTGTTTATTTCTTCTAAAACGTTAATAGTTTCCACAAAAACACAAAACATTTTGGTTTCAAAATATACAATTATTTTAACTTTATGCAATAATCATTTTTGAATCGTAACGAACGACGTCGAAATCGTTACGACGATTATCTAGATTTCAAAAATAATCAACTGTATTTGAAAAAAAAAGAGTATCTTAAAGAACATAGATAGTGAAATTCAATATGAAGAAATAAACGCGAGGTAATTTTAATCGTTGAAGAGACTTATAACAATTCGAAAATTTCACTATGTTAAGATTTACATCTGTCAAGATGTAAACTCTCTCTTTTGCTACTTTTGATTGCTATATACTCGAGCGTCAGTTTAATAATTAACAATCGAATCATATTTTTTTTATCCCGTTGAACTCCTTGTACATTTTTCTGCATCTGTAATTTCTTCACGTAAACACCTTAATAATTTCAAGTTCCTAAGATTCTATGTTTTGAGCAGCAAAATAAAATGTCTTTCATTATCCCAAATTTTAATTTTCCCATTCTTGCGGCCTTTACTTACTTTGTTCGCCCGTATTGTGTTTCTTCCAACAAGTTTAACAGTTAATAATTTTCGAACAAATCATCGAACATTAAATTTTTTTATTCCATCGTAATTCCTGTACACTTTTCTTAGTCATTTGAAGTTTCTACGTCTTAACGCAACAAAACAAAATGTAACGTAACACCCAAACAAAACAGCATCGGTGATTTTTTAATGTATTGAGACTGCTTGAGCGATGGTGAAGGATTACTAGCGCAGTTGAAGGTTGCTGTAACTCAATAGTTTAAAAACTTTTGTGATAATATTTTCTTATATTTGGAGAACATGGCTTAGTGTGAAAGCATTTCTTACCGTAATGATCTCCTTTACCAAGCGGATTGTACCGGATAATCGAACCGTCTTTTGCGTAACCTAGAAAAGCTGTATACTCGTATTTCTCCGCTATCTAGAAACAAATTTTGTTGTCATTATTTGTAACTGAAATATAAATATCACATGAAGACATCACAATAATAAATTCAACGGAATCGATGAAAAAGACATAATAAAAAGAACAATAAAGGAAAGATAAAACAATCTAAATCGGCGAAGATTTGCTTCTTAATTTTGTTTCTTTACTATAAATAAATAGTTACATCAGTATTAAAAAGTAACTAATTAAAGTATTCAAAAATGTTTTATTGCATTAATAAAAATTTTGCTCCATAGATTTAATTTTCCGATCTTAGTGACAGGTATATAAACCTAATTATTGTGCTCGGTTACCATAGCAATTTCATCCTTAAACACATCCAACACAGAGTTGTCTTAGGATATAATTTTTTAACTGAATTAGTATATTATTTTAAAAACTTTTTACGTTGCTCCCCATTTTTTATTGTTTGCTTAAATGTGTTCTTAGAAAAAACTGTTTAGGACAATCCTCGTCAAATGACTATATTTGTAAACATATGTATCATCTCTATATATAGACTTATTACCATGAATACTATGAATTCCATGCTTCGTCAAATTAAAGTACAAGATAGAAAGCTATAGGACGCCTCTCAAAAATTGGGGATAAAAACAACAAATGCTGATTGGGACCGCTTCTCATGATGTCGGCTTCTTCTTTAATTACTCTCCATAACCGATCTGTTTTCTGATTTGCTTAAACGCTCTCTGGCTACTGGAGCAGGATTCCCATAGAACGTGGTGTTTCGTGGGCATTTTCGAAGAAAATTTATGTTTGATCGCTTGCAATTCGAACAACATTTTCGATATTTACAATTTTCTCTTTGGTGCTCTGGTTTTCCACAGTTAACGCAGAGCTAACATTATTTCTGGTTTAGCTCGATGTCCGAAGCTGCAGCAAGCACTTGTAACATCTCAGTGGCCTTTGGTGCTCTCACACCATTTCTTTTGTCCACCCGATCTTGAGTTGGTCTGTTTCAAAATTTTCTTTAAATTATTTAGACCCATTATTTCCTGCATTGTTTTAAGAGAATACTTCATTGAGCTCTTCATTTTGAATCTCTATAGCTTTAATTTAATTTTATTTTATTCTATAACCGTAATTGATCAGCAGACCGAATTTTGAGTTTGCGATTACCAATGTTCAACTCCGTAGCCCTGTAATTTAGAGCCCGATACAGAAGACAAGGAAACTCCTGCATCAAGTATTGGGAAAATTTTCCCTTCATGGGGAACTATATGATGGAAATAAACAGCACTTGCGTTACACAGCGATGAAAACCACAAAAACCTTCCACGGTTAGCCTAACGGCAAGATGACTCTAATTCATGATCCGTCTACCACTGAGGATATTTTTACGTCAGCACTGTAGTTGGGGCAAACCGGGTGCGGAATTAAAATAACAGCCATCGCTGGGATTCAAACCCGGTTCACCTCATTCGGAGGCGAGTGCTCTATCCCCTGAGCCACTACGGCTCCTACGCCTTTTATAGTATCTAATCGCTCAACCAGACCACCCCTGATCTTCCAGAGTAAGCTCATCATTGAAATCATTCATCCTTGCATTATCTTCTTCGCCTGCGATGGCTCTCCAAAAACCAACAAGATATAAATCAAACTTCTTCTGTTGTTGTTGTTGTTGTGGGTTATCCTCCAATGTCTGACGAAGTCAGACAAAGTCCATCAGCCCATTGACCCTAAGAAAATCGAGGACCAGAAGGGGGGATAAGTATATGTCCTCTCTGGAAAGTCCCAAACAGTCCAGGATGTGTTCGGGAGAAGCCTGCTCAGTTTGACATTTGGAGAAGACCTCGAAGATTCTACTGCCTTCGAAAAATGAGAGACTTTTAGTGTGACCGCTTGCTAATATGGAAATTGCGGTTTTAGAAGCTCTGTCACAATTGAGGGCGAATGAAGAACTTCTGAAGAATGAAACTTCTTCTGCATGTGTAAAGCGAGACGCCTCCTCTACCCTCGTTAGCCATCGTAGGGCATAGATGTCAACTTTTTCCGGACAGCGGATTAATATTTTCGAGTGGTAGTAATGTATGATTCTATGATTCTTGGTTTAGTAAATCTCATTCATACGGTTTTTACTCACTTCTGAAACATTCAAAGGCTTAAGTGATACGCCACTCTTTACTGTTAAGTCGTGTTGAGTCCTTTAAAAAGTTCACGAAATTAACAGAAAATCCGTAAATTTTAGTTTGTTGTTCTCTACCGTTTTTTAAAATATTTTGTCGAATCTGGAGCAGTTGGCATCTCTGCTAGGGTGTTCATCTGCGCAACACGATAAGGTGAGGATCAGGAAATAGATGGTAAAATGGAGCTTAATCTAGAGCGTTTTTGACAGCGCCTCGACGAGAGATAGTCACCGGGACATTGTCTTCCCATCAGAAAAATCTTCTCAAAAACTATTCTTTAATTCTCACGCCAAATCGAACACTCTTTTCGAAGCACAGTCAGAGGCCCTTGTAGCGAGGAGAAAAAAAAGCACAATTATCACTGCAAGGAAGAAAACCACAAGTTTTTTTTTTAGAATACTTACATCTGGTTTGGTGTAAGTTTCACAGATTGTATCCAGCGAGTATAATTCTCGAAAAGCGTGCATCTAAAAAAGGAATGCAAAGTCAAAAGAATTAATCAGAAGTTGAAGTTGCCAGTCAAAATTGAAATTAAGATTTAGTTATTGCGAAAAGTGTGCGAATGTTGAAGGAAATTATTTTAATATTAACAAATTTTAAAATTTATGCACTGTAAAGCAACACAATTTGTTGCAAATTGTAAATGCAAAACCTAAATATTCGAAATAGTTCAGTAAAATCAGACTTAAATTTCAGAATTATAAATAACCAATATTTTTTTCGATAAAATTTTTTTTTTTTAAAGTTATAAATGATACCCGAAAATTCCCTTAGTTTCATCTGTAGGCTTCCCTCTTTTTTTTTGAGGGAAAGAGTGATTTAAAAGGAGAATGGAATTTTTCTTAACCGGAAAGTAAAACATTGTTTACGATGTATTTTTTTACGCTGAATCAAATGATACTAATACCGAGACAATAGAACTAATAGTTTATAACTTATAAGGGCACAAAAAGTATAAATTTCTACATGGAATTTGTTACGAATCAGATGTTACTATCAAAGCAAGTGAGACATTTTTTCCTGTGTATTTTTTCACGCTGAATCGATTGAGACTATAAACGAGTCAATAGAATAAATAGACAGATAGAACAAAAACTGTTTAAAAGTATTATTTTTGACATGATTGTGTACAATTTTCAGATAGCTATCTAGAGACAATTTGAGCGTGAGCGGTATATTTTCCAATTTAATTGTTGTAGTTCATTTGTGTCACACTAGAGTTGCACAATGGGCTATTGGCGACGGTCTGAGAAACATCCATGAGGATGATCCGCAGACATGCCATCACAATTTTGATCCTCTGCAGAGGGGATGATACCCCCGCTTCGGTAGTCCAACGATCTGCATGTGAAGTCGAGCACTTCACGGTAGAACAGCTTAACAATGACCAATAACGCACACCCTCGGTTCCTACGCAGACTGATCCAAGTGGTCATCTACCCGCACACTGACCGCAGCCAGTGATGCTCGACTTCGGTGATCTGTTGGGAACCGTGTCTTAACGATCAGTCCACTGCGGGACCCAATTTAATTGAATGATACAAAACTGAATTGATTTATGCGAAACAGGAATCGATAAGAGAAATAATAAAGAAGTTGTTACGGTTTTGTGTACAAAAAGTACAATTTTTACTTGCATCTATTTACGCATTTGTTGCTGTTCTGACAAGTGAGTCATTGTTCCCTAGATAGTTTTACTTCTTTAATCGAATGAGACCACACACGAATTAAAAAAGTAACTATTTTAAGTATTATTATTTTCTGTATAAAAAACGCTATCTTTGAATTGTGCTTACTATGAAAAAAACCCTTATACCTTCAATCTTATCTGTTCGGAAGGTACTTTATTCAGTTTAGTATAACAAATTTAATCGGAAAGCGTAGTACCTTACTTGTTCAGATGCCTCCAGATAGTAATGTGAAACGTGTACATTATTCATATCAAACTGAGTATTTTTTAAAAATAAAAATGCTTTAAAGTTTTGAACAATTCGCTCAAATAACATGTGTATAGTCTCATTCGATTCGACAGGAAAAATACACAGAAAATATCTCACTTGTTAAATAGCAATGTCAGATGTATAAATAGGTACAAAATTGTAATTTTTTGAATATAAAACTATTATAATTTCTTAACTATTAGTCGGATCTTCTCGGTATTATTTTTACTTAATTCTACATAAAAAATACACCGGAAACAATGCATTAGTAGCGTATCTAAGAGAAATTCAATTCTCTCCCTCAAATTAACCTCATTTCACTGAACAAAAAAAAGTGGGGGGGAGGGGAAGATGCATACAGAGGAGAGTAAAGGAGTTTTCAGGTATTATTTATAGTAATATAATAAAGCTTTTTGTTAAAAAATATCTTGGGTATTGATTTGACCAAAGATACGTCGTTTTTTCCCCTTAAGTTATAGGATTAAAAGTATTGGTGTCAATGTTCAAAATTGTAACTTTTTGTATTATTATAAAGCAAAATTAAATTTAAAAAAAAAAAAAAAAAAATCATCTTTACCTCTCTAAAAGTTGCTTCTGCTTTTTTGACGTCGTGATTTTTAGCTGAAAAAGAGATTAAAATACATTTTAAGCTGATTCAGCAGTCAACAGAAAAACAAATTGAGAAATATTTCCAACTCAACATATAAATCTTTGAAATATACAATAAAAATTTAAATAATTTTATGATTACTTCATTTACCACAAGTCTCAATCATATATTATATATATTTGTTTTTGACAGACGAAGTAGTCGTTCCTTTATCAAGTTGATAACAAAGAGTTGAAATCCTTTTTATAAATTTCTGAATGAAAATTCTTCTTTCGCGTGGGCAACGAAAAGTTGAAACAGTTTGAACTTATAAGTTGGGAAGAATGGGATACCTGCAAGTGATGTAGTGTGGGGATCTCAATCCTGATTGGTTGTTGAAACGTGGCATTTGTTTACGTTAACAATTATTCTTTCCATTCTATTTCGAGTAAGCCAAGCCCGTCAAGCATCAATTCTCTTAAATGATACATTCTTTATTCTTACACAAAGATTATTTCACAAAGATTCTTTCACTATATTTTTCTTACTTAACACAAAGACAAACATGAAGCCATGTAAAACACAAACAAACTAATAATGCATCGAAGTTGCCAGGTATACAAAACAAAAATATATCATGGTTATATAAAATACATAAACAAATAATAAATCTTAGATAAGTAAAATATGTAGAAGAAAAAGAATTATATTTTATAAATTTTAAGTGTGATACGGCACTGTATATAATTAATTTTATATTAATTATCATTCAAACTTATGTGGAGAAACTTAGATCGACTTTATCACAACATTTCGCTTATAAGCGATCAGCTGGTGCTGATGTCATAGGTCAAGTGTGTGGGTATACATGGTCTTCTTGAAGTCTAAGACCCAATTGAAAGGTCAAAAGCAAATAGTTCATATCAACAAGGTGTTCTATGTTATGACTTAATAATTTTTTTCATTGTTATCGTTATTCATTGCAAAATGGGTATCAGTCGTACTGTTTTATTTTTTTGAAAGCATAATTAAGGTTTAGTTTCTTGCAGTTTTTCTATTGCATATCATTTATTTCTATTACTATTAGTTTCTATTAATTTATTCTATTACTATTAGTACTATTACTTCCTAATATTTTGATCATTTAACTTTACAGTGATAGCTCAACATTCTGAAAATTTTTTTTTTTATAACGAAGTTAAGAATCTTTAATAGTAATTGTTTTTAAAAACCATATTGTTTTGTTTCTGTAAGTTTTTGTATTGCATGCCATTTATTTAAATTTAAGTTTTTTTTATTTCAATAACTTATTATTGATCAAAATTTAGATTTTCTAACGAGGAATTAGTTTTAAAAATTTTAATTATTGATTGAAAAGAGCCTTTTTGACTTCAGCGGCTCAAAATCACGCGGACGCTATCTCAATCTGGTATTTCTGTATATCATCTCGTATTCTCTCGGAGCGTTCGGGTATGGGGGAAGCTCTTCCTTTTCTATTCGGTTAACTGGTTACTGACGGAGCTTCATGCATGAAATAACCTCTCAGCAAGTTAACTAATGTTTTATCAAAAAAAATTTTTTTTTTATGTGTTGGATATTAACATGAATAAGTTAATATAGTTTCTAAAATTTAATCATTCCACCAATGCATTCGGTTATTTAGCATTAATTTTGCATGTAATACATTAAATATTATTACCGTCATTGAACAGCAGACCCAATTTAAGGTTTACAGCTACCAATATTCAACTCCGTAGCCTTGTAATTTCGAACCTAATCCAGAAGGCAGGGGAAGTCCTAGATCAGGTATTGGGAGAAATTTGCCTTCGTGAAGGACATTTTGAAGAAACTAACCCGCGTTTGCGTTACATGGAGAGGAATACCACGGAAACCTCCCAGAGTTAGCTTGATGACAGGGAAAGTCTAACTCATGATCCGTCTACCGCTGAGGATATTTCACGTCAGCGTCGATGCGAGTCGGATGCGGAATTAGTTTCGGCCTGTCATGGCTGGGATTCGAATCCGGTTAATCTCATTGGGAGACGAACTAATACATTGAATAGTTATGATTAATTTTAGAAGCAGAAAGAGAGAATGCATAGAGATTCTAAGATTCCAAAGGATAAGGGTAACTTCGTCAATGCGGCACATGTTAGTCCAGGAAAACATTTATTTCTCTTCTTTACCGTAAATTTTGGCACTCAGCCAATAACAGACCGTTACCCGCCCGTACTTTGTAGCTACTTGAACTAAGTTTAAAAATAGGAACCTTATACCAATAAAAAAAATGATATACTTTTTTAAATTTTGTTTTTGTAATATTTTAACTTTTCGTTATTTATTTATTAATTCTTTTTTTTTTTACTCAGAAGAATTTTACTTACCTTTTAACCATTTCAACAAATATGGATCAGTATCAATAGGTGTCAATATATCTTTAACATTTCGCTTAAACTGCAACAATACAATAAAAGTAAATGAGTTATTCAGTGATATCAAACAAAAAATTATAATGATTTTGGTCATGCCTAGTCTGCAATATTCACCCTAAGAAGTGAGAAAAACTTTAGAAAAATGTAGAGGGAAAAAAATTGCTAAAGAACTGATATTAAGAATTTTAAAATCAATAATGGTTAATCTGGTAGGTCGTTCCGATTTGGAAAGAAAAATTAAATTTTAGCTTAAATTCAATAAGTACCATTCTGTTCCCGACGCTTATTTCGTTCCATATTTCAGATCAGCATGCCCCAAATGGTTCTTAGCGTTCCAAGTGAAAGGTCTTCCGTGGAACAAAAGTTAGATAATTTTTGATGTCTGTAATTATATTGTAATTCTGTTTGTATGTATGCCTGCAATTATGATTGTAATTATATTGAGATCCACTCTTTATTTAATATTTCGATTTCGTTTTCGAAATTATTTAAAGTAATGCTTATGAAAAAAAAAAGTAAATTGTTTTTAAAAAATACGAAGTTTTTAATAAGTATGTATTGAATAAATTATGAAAGGTCATGTACCTAATAATATTGCATTTGTCATTCAATCGAAATCAAATAGTTTTCCAATCAAAAATAAATAACTGAATTCCTCTATAAACAAATATGTTTCCCTGATAACCATTTCAACGTTTCTATCAGTTCTTTTTAGTTTAATTTAAAAAATTATATAAAATTAATTAATTAAAAAAATTATGTAAAAGTTATAACTTTTTAGTTTAATTTTAAAATTTTTTATTAATTTTCATCCTATGTATGTGTTACTGTGAGTGACAGAAATGGGTGGTTGTTGACTTCCACCGGTGAATGTTGACAATCGTATAGTTGTTTTGGTAAATGTTCGAAATATATACTAGATCTAGTTAATTGCCCCTGCCCGGTATGAAAAACATCAATGTTTTTTTAAGATTCAGTACCACTGCCCGGTATACATTTGTCGGTACTCCGAACACTGATGTTTCTCCTAATCTATCCTCAGAAGTTAAATATCGAATAAATATAATAATAACAACTAATAAATTAATATCACATCGGATATAACACATATTTTGGGTATTCACCAAAGCGACTATATGATTGTCGGCATTCACCGGTGTGAAAGTCGACATTCTCTTGATTTTGGTCATTCACTGTAACATACATACACCAAAAATGAATTTATAACTAGGCTAGATTCAGGTCCAGGACAGAGAACTAAAATCTCGGACATAAAATCGAATTTAAGATTATTAACGAGAAAACGTTGAAAAAATGTAATATTTTTTTTAAAAAAATATTTTCCAAACAATGCAGTTTTTTATTAGTGAATACGTTTTCAATTGTCTTTTAGTCCAGGCAATGGAGCTCAAAAATTAGCCTTATCTGGATAATTGGGAGGAGTACTTTTTTTTTTTTTTTTTTTNTTTTTTTTTTTTTTTTTGTATGCTTATATTTTTTTGGAGTGTTGAACATGAATCCATATTTTGAGATCTAAGTTTTTTCCTGGGAAAAAAAAATTAAAATTTCTATTTTTCGCTCATACCTTTTGTTAAAATTAAATTGAAAAACTATGTTGACATACTTGAAAACTAGAGAAAATTTTCATCAAAATATTTCCCTATATTATTATATTCCAAGAAAAAATTTTAAAAATCTGTTTTTTGTAAGTAACTTTTTTTCAAAATCTAGATTGAAAAATTATGCTGACATATTTGAAAACTAGAGAAATTTCCCATCAAAATGTTTTCCTATATTCCAGGAAAAAAATTTAAAAATCTGTTTTTTGTAAGTAACTTTTTTTCAAAATCTAGATTGAACAATTATACTGACATATTTGAAAACTGGAGAAAATTTCCATCAAAATATTTCCCTACATTCCTTTCTTTCAGGAAAAAAAAATTTAAAATCTGTCGTTGGCATATAACCTTTTTTAAATTGAGATTTAAAAANCTATATAGACAACTTTGATGACCTCTGCTTTAACCACTTCTACGGGAAAAGTTGTGGATAATAATCAATAGAAGTTTGAAATTTTGTGAAAATTCTCTCTTTGGCGATGTATGAAAAAAAACATATTGCCAACCCCTAAGGGGATTTCTCTCCTCCCCCTCGAATAATTATAAATTTTCTTAAAACTTCCTTTAAATTATATTTTTTATAGTTTTAAATTTTTCACTCTCCCTTTCAAAATTTTCTCAATTTAACTTTGGAATAACCCTTAAGGGAGTATTCCCATACCCCTTATAAATTTTCGTCCTGCCTACTGCCTTTAGCCCCCATTTTTATCCCCAATACCCCCTTCTTAATAACCACGATTTGCTTAAAATCTCCACTTTAACAATGATTTTTAGTCTTTCTCTTCTTATTTTTATGCAAATAAAGTTTGGAATGTGAGTTTTATTACATAATTTTGCATTTCTGGTATACAGTGGAAAATAGCCCCGCCCCCCGAGTTCTTTTTCCTTAAAATAAATTTGAAAGGAAACTAAAAATCGTAATTTTAATCTTATTTTTTTAAATTTTAAGCAATGAAGCTTTATAATATTTTTCTTGATATTTTAATGCGAATAAAAAGATAACGCAAGACAAAAATAATTGGAATTTAATTTAGATTCGATGAAGGCAGTAAATGCCGTGATAAAAGTGACAGAATTTGTAAAACAACAAAATGAAATTTTATTTAAGCAGAAGGCAAATTTGATAAAAAAAAAAATTTGAAAATTCATCATTTCTTGTTCTAGAAGACAGTATTCCTTATCATGGCATTTTGTGAACATTGATACTGTAATTGTAGGTTTAAGTGATAAAAAAGATTTACCTTTTTAAGAGTTTCAGAATGGGAGTCAGTTCCTTTTCCATTTTCCATTTCAAGTTTGAAACTGAAACTATAAAAAAGAAACAATAAATAAAAATGATATATTTTTTCAAGAAATGGGTATCACCGTTTTCCACTTTTTTTGCTGCATTGCATTGCATAAAACATTACTGGCAAAATGTTAAAATCGCAATTTTAGAGTTCGTGTATTATTCCAATTGATGCCAATTAACATTTTCTTGGTAACGTATACTCCATGAGCTTTCAAAAAATTATATTAACAGTATATGTAGCTATGTTTTAAGAATGAAAAATAATTTTGATGTATTTTGAGATGTGATTTAGCTTAGATATGTTTTTTGAGATGCGATTTTTAATTATGTATTAGTAAAAATAATTAAAAAATGGGATATATTTTCGTATGAACGCTTTTCAAAAATGAAATCTCATTTCAAATTAAATATTGAAAATTATATATTTACACAGGAAAAAAAATTACTCAGTTTATCGTTTTCTAGAAAAAATAATTTAAGAAAATTCGACACAATAAAATATATTTATCAGTGAGAAAAACAATAGATATCTCAATCCGGCTGACAACACTTTTCCTCGACCTTGTTTTCATAACAAAAAATTTAACGAGCGAAAAAATGTTTGCTGTTGATAGTTTGTAAAACATCATAACGGATTTTATGAGGAAAGTGTATGTGGTCATGGTTCATGGATAGTAAAAGCTCTTTTAAAAAGCTTTTAAGCTCTTTTTAAAAGCTTTTAAGTTCTTTTTAAAAGCTCTTAAATTTCGCTTCTTTATAATTTTCAGAATTGTCTTTCGAATAATTACTTCGAAGATACTTAACAGCTGAAATGGAATTGGCATTTGATATACTTATTAAAATAAAATTCGGAATATTTCAAAGGATTTAAAATAATTTTACTAGAATTTTAAAAAAAAGGAGGAGATAATGTTTTATTTTAAAACGATGTTCGCTTTAAGTTTTTTTCTTCTTCTTTTTAACAAGGAAACAACTACTTATTTTACTATTCAAGCTTAAATGAGATATTAAACTGCATAGGTATTGAAATAAGCCATTTCTTTTGTCCTTAGACTTCGTTCTATTATTCTCAAAGTAAGAGTATATCGCTTGCCAACCCCCGACACAAACTCAGTTCCTTTCGCTACTCAAGCTCACCTAGCTAACTCGCTACATACTAGAACATTGTAGTTCTTTTTCAATCGATATCCTTGTACTTATACCAGAACTGTCTAGTATTTTGACATTACAGCAAACTTATATGCCTTAAGTCATTGAAAGAGAAATAATACAATAGATAAAATCGGCAAATAAAAAACAGTTATTGTCTTTTATATAAAAATATACGGAATATATCAGGTGAAAATTATTCGTTCCTTTTAAAAAAGAAATGAATTGAGACCCAGAAAGCTTATCACAAATATAAATATCATCGTGCTGTCGTTTGCAAACTACAAATAATGGTATCAAAAATTATGCTATGCGTGCAATAACTAAAAGTAAAATTAAATATCTTTACCTTTAGTAACGAAAATGACAATTTTGATGACGAAATTCTCAACAATAGGTGTCAGATTATCTATCTATCTCTATATATACATAGTTTTTTTTCTCCCACACTTTTCCACACTTACTCTAAAAAATAATAAATAAAACAAGAACTCTTAAACCTAGTGTCTAGCTCAGTATAGCCATTTCTGGCTCTTGTGCCAGTAAACTCCTGCCAATCAACAGTTTGGGTAAATTACAGCGTAAATAAATGGCTTGAAATTTGACCTTTTCAGTGTTGAAGTTCACACGTTGCTTCTAAATCGGAGCTATGGAATATAAAGGAGGTACGATTTAGGCTACTACGTAACGTTTTTAACGAAATGTTATTCCAAGCCTCGAACAATAGTTAGTTAGTGAAGAAGCAGAACCTATTAGAATAAATAGCTTAAGAGTTATATAATACATTGAATAATATGTACTTAACTGTAGTTCTGTTATATCCTTTCACTGTTCATAAATTACATTGAAAACTTTTAAAACTGATGAACTTACTTGAAAACTTAACTCAAGCACGGGATTTGATTATTCCGCATGGATCTCCATGTAAAAAGAGCGTCATCATTTATCTACTAGAACACTTTCTATACAACGCTTCTTCAGAAATCAGTGGTGGTACGATTTTGAAATAAAGTGGGATACTGATTCGGTAATTCGAATCACCATCCTGTAACTGATTCGAATCAGTTGATCTTATTGAAATAGATTTAAATTCCAATGAATTACTATTTTTAAATTTCAGATACTTTTGTTTCACAACGATGCTATGCCAAACTTCTTACCTAACCAAGTCAAACTTCTTACGTAAAACCTAAGAGATTCTTACGCATTCATTATCAAGGAATATAAGATTTTCCATAAAAAATATAGTAATTCATTTCTTTTATAGTTTCTTAATTACCACAATTAAAAGTATTTATAGCACTTAACGATATATATAATGTAATTATACGAAAGATATAAGTATATTTATTTATTCGAAATCTGAAACACTTGATTCGAGTCACTAATTCGATAGTGGTTTGAATTCCTAAGTTCGATTCACATGATTCGAATTACTGATTTGCGTCACTGATCCAAATCGCTTGAATCAAATCAGTGATCTGAATCACTTAATTCGTCGTGTGTTTATAATTACTTAATTCCCCTAAAATCACTTAATTCGAATAGTGATTTCAATCACTTTATGTAAATCACTTATCCAAATCACTTGAATCGAATCAGTGATCTGAATAACTTTATTCGTCTAGTGTTTATAATTACTTAATTCCCCTAAAATCACTTAATTCGAATAGTGATTTCAATCACTTTATGTAAATTACTTATCCAAATCGATATGATTTGAATCCGTGATCATTGATTCACATCGTTTGATCCGAATCCCTTGATTCGAATAACTGTTCTGAATCATTTGATTGGAATAGTGATTTTTATCATTTGATTCAAATCAATGATCTAAATCACTTGATTTCAATTACCTGATTCGAATTACTGATATAAATCACTTGGTTTGAATCAATTGATTCGTATCAGCGATGATCATCGAGGTTAAGGCTCCACAATTTCGTGATCGTGGCAGTGAGGACATGGGGGNACGGGGGGGGGGGCGCTTGTGTTACATTGAAAGGGAAACAACGAAAACCTCCCTGAGTCATTCCATTGGGAGTCGAGCGCTCTAACCATTTCGCCAACGCAGCTTGCTTATTTATTATTGATGCTAGGGATACTTAACTAATTGTGAACATGGGAAATTAATTTATTGTTGTATTTTGTCCTTGCCGATGGCACGTTTTACAAAATACGTTTTTAGTAGCCCATCTCATCAATTTAAAGATAATCAGAATTATTAGGCATGATGCTGTTGATCCAGGCCAACTCATGATAGTCAAAATTTACACAATCACACGATTTTTTCCGGTACTTATTCCTTTAGAGGGGAACCTCTTTTCCACAGTATCTTTTTTAAAGTTTTGAAGCAGTTTAAATTGGTGTCAAATATACTAACATAATATATTGTACCTACATAACTAGACCTTAATGCCAGTAGTGCCTATTACCAAAATTAATCATTACCATCATTGGTGTCAATAAAAGAGTGGCGATTTTTTACGTTTCTCCAAAACAAATTAGCATCTTTTCTCAATTAATTTTATCGCATAGAGTAGGGGAGAGTGGAGTCAATTGTAACAGGGTACGATTGTAACAGAGCAAAACTTTTGAGTGTCGGGTTCTAGATTTGGTTCCTAGGTGGCGCACAAGGTGTATTTAATAAATCTACATGTACACCCCTGATGGCAACCATTTTTATGTACTTTTGAAAGAGTTACATCACAAAAGATATTTTCACGCCACGCAAGTACTTTTTTTGGTATTAGAATATTATATTGTAACAAAGTAATTTTGTTTAAACAAATAAAAATTAGTAACCGAATATGTAAGTGGACACTTTAATTAACATTTCAAAAAAAAAAAGATTAGTTTTGCTAATTAACTAGCATTGTTTTTAACAAATGAAGCTGAAATGGCGTCTTGGGGACAATTGTAACAATAAGTAAAGGGACGATTGTAACAGCTGAAAATAAATAATCTTATGTTTACAAACCATTACTTAACTCTTTAAGAACCACCAATAGTTTCCTATATCATTTATATTATGTTGCATGTGCATTATTTTATTTGTCACCTTTCACAGCATAAATTAAAATTTTTAACCCCTTAAAGTTAAAAGTTTAACCCTTTAGGTCTCTGCTCATTATTATTTTTACTCCTAAAATATCACTACTATTTTGATCAATAAAAAAATATATCACAACTATGATAATATGTATAATTAACTATGTTTTAGTTGAATTTATGAACTGTTACAATTGACCCCGTAAGTGGGGACAATTGTAACAAGTGCTCGACTGTCAAAAATTGTTAATAACTAATATAATAACATTTAAAATAAGGTATTTTTATTTATTTCTAGTAGAGGATAGTCTACTTTTTTCGTCTGTCAATTAATATACTAATAATATATTGGATTTTTTGTTAGTTAAAAATAGTTAAGTAAAAGATGTTACAATTGACCCTACTCTCCCCTACTCAGCTTTTTTTTCAATTCGTACATATTAGAGCGTTCGCCTTCCAATGAGGTGAACCAGGTTCGAATTCCAGCAATAGCTTGTCTATACGATGTCCGCATCCGGCTTGCACTGACCACAGTGCTGACGTAAAATATCTTCAGTGGTATTCAGTGGACGGATCATGGGTAAGATTCCCTTTAACATCAGACTAACTGTGGGAGGTTTTCTACATCAAACGCAAATGCGGGTTCCATCAAAAAGTCTAACACGGAAACAAATTTCCTTCTATACTTGATACAAGTGTTCCATTTTCTTCTACATTGGATTCAAAACTACAAGGCTGCGTAGTTGAACATTAATAGTCATAAACCCAAAAAATTGGGTCGTCTGTTCAACGACGGTTATAAAATTAATTAGGCATG